GTCTGTATGGGAGAATCTTGACCTCGGTCGCTGGTACAGACCTCACTGCGTTCGGTCTGTACTGGCGACCTCGGTCAAGATTCTCCCATACAGACCTCCCACTCGGTTAATAAGAGCTAAATATAAGGAACCGCTCAACCAATCAGATTGCTGGAAACTCTTTGCTCAGCTCTGAAATTACACTAGTTCGCAATACTTGTTTGTGAAGGCCCAATACAAGCGCGCGTGCGCGTTTTCATTTGTATTTTCACTTTGTTTCATCATCGCTTACAACAGAGACGCGCATTTATGACATAATTCTGTGTGCACGCTGTTGGAAAGTTGAGGAAAACCGGTGATTCGGGCTGAGTAAGAGACAATAACAAGGTTTCATTTTTCAAGAGGCACTGACGACCATAGAACTCTCCGAAAACGATGGCAGAACAAGACACACAGGGGGTTAAAGGAGTATTAGAGCGACTGAAGGAAAACATTGCGAAACTTCAACCTTCATTTGAAGAAGTTGTTGCCGAGCAGGCCGAGATGTTGATTGGTGACGAGAGGAAAAAACTCCGAAAAGAATATAAAGCCGAGTGCAAGGATTTCCTGCGCGAGCTGAAAGAAGTGAAAAGCGAAACAGAGGGGTGTATCACTGATATTGACAGAAATACTCGGAAGTGTATTCATGAGGTCAATCGGGAGATGGACGAAAAATTCAGAGTTGTTATTCGTCGAGAAAGGCTTAAGAGGAGTAAAGAACTTGACGAAATCAGAGTAGAAACTAAAAATAATACCCTCGCTGAACTCTTCAACCCGTGCAATAAATATCAAGTCATGAAAATTTCTGTAAGTTCGGATTTTGTTTCGAAGAGCGCGCCGAGATGCGCAAGTTGTGGTAAAGAGAGCGTATGGTTGTGTTTCTGCGGAGGTTGCAAAATTACCAGATATTGCGACGAAAAATGCCAGGAAGCTGACTGGGAGAACCACAAGAACACCTGCATAGGATTAAATAGTAACTAAGAGAAAGAGAAAGCTATGTAACTTTAAAGTGAGTAATATTTGAAAAACATTAAACTGTTTAAACTTGCTATGTTGCTATTAACTTTGAGTGCTTGTCCCTATCACTATCTTTTATATAAAATGTCGCCTGGTAAAGATCGATTTTGCATTAAATGATAAAAACGTTCTTCTTAGTTTCGCTATTTGTAGTATGTTTTCGTATGTTATTTCCTCAAAAGTTTGTTCATAACGGCGGCAATGCGCGAGTGATAACGGGAAATGATCTCGCACCATATTCGTTCATCCTCCCGCCCCCCACCCCCTCCCTCTCTGTGTCGCTGCAGCGGTATGCCCTTGAGAATCAGTAAAGTAAATTTGGCGGGATCGATATAACAAAGCAATGAACGGAGTATTACAACCAGAAATGGACATTTTTTCGGGGTCGGCGTAAGTTTGACTATGAACTTCTGCTCACCTCTTATAAAAATTAATCCAAAGACTGAGCCGGTGAATGAATTTTATAATTCAGACCTGTGATTAAGTTTTCATTCCCCTATCGTCTCGTCAGTCCCATTTCGTTGATTATCAGTGCGCGCGCATTCGTAGTATGTGTCATATATCACGTCATAATGGTCACTCAAAAGTTGCATGCGACATCACAAAGCTATTATGAACTCCATTAGTTTGTAGCGACAGCAACAAGCCTCGTAAAAATTCTTTCAGCCTCTGTTTGACCCATCATTTGACATAAGTGGTTTATTTAATACCAATTTCAAAAACCTTTGGAAAATTCTGGTCTTCGGTTCACAATTAACAAATGGTAAACACCACAGCGTACACTATTGAATTATGGATGCACGCGGGAGGTTGCTAAGCACGAAAGAAGCGTAAGAGTCGCTCGAGGCGATAGCCGAGAGCGACTCTAGCTTCTTGAGTGCTTAGCAAACCTCCCAAGTGCATCCATAACTCAATAGTGTACGCTGTGGTGTTTACCATTTGTTTTATAACATAACATTGATACATTGTAGCTAAACAGTTCCCTTTTATTTAACAAATCTTACGCGACCACAAAAAACAAGCGCTCGCGCGGAAAAATAGTCTTTGCATTTGCTCACGTCAGCAGTGTACACCCATGGGCAAATGGGGGACGCTAAATTGACCAATCAGAGCGCGCGCTTTACTTTGGTTATGTTATAACACACGATAAAAAATGAAAACGAAATAAACATTCATGCGAACAGTTAATGCAAAAAGGGTCCCATCTCATTAGCCTTTGTGTATCACCAGCGATTAGCACGAAATTGGGAGCAAGGCACTGTTTTGAATTTCCTTGAGTTTTGTTTCAAAGTTTATTTTAACCACAATTTATTTCTTTCCTTTCTCCGATTGATAGTCTTGTTTTCAAGGGCGATGCAGGTGATTCCAAGCCTAAGTCCTCAAGAATAGGGACAGAACTTTTATTTGAACTTAAACGTAAATTTTAGGTGGTGGAAACTTTCGTCTTGTTCGCTTTTACTTATGGGGTTTAACTCTTTAAGGGATTTTTAACGTCTGACATGTCATGTATGGTTTTATTTTTTTTTACAGAACGGTCATTCCTGTTACGGATACACAAACAAGTACTAACAGTCACGCTCTGTACCCAAGTTGGCTTGTAAAATCTGATCAAAAGCTCCCTTCTTCTGAGGAGTAGGAATGGTGGGTAGCGCGGAGGTGATCCCAAATGGACTGGGAACCAGACCCAGAAGAAGAGTGATCCACAATTGGGATAGCATACCTAGAGAAGAATTTTCGAAGCACAGCAAATGTATATAAACATTCGGGTCTCTTGCAGCGTTAAAAACCCGAACGTACATTATATAAGAAAACTCTGAATCAAGTCAATTTCTCCAAACCCACCAAAGAAGTCAGGTTGTTTTTCATAATTTCAACAAAAGTTATCATGGATCAAAAGAAAATCCTTCCTCCAGCCCCATGATTGATGTGAGTCTATTGCATGTGTAAAAATTCACATCTGACAAAAATCTAAATAAACTGTACAGAGCAGAATGTTTTACACACAAAAAAATCGATAGTTTTCTCTTTGTTAACAGGTTTGAAGTGTTGTAATCTTTGGTTTATGAATTTCTTGAGATCTGTGAATATACAATTCTCAAATTGAGGTTTCCGCAGCTCAGCTTTAAATAACCTTAACTTGATCAAGCGTCATTTTTTGCGCTTTTCAGGAAAGCTAAGGCAAGCGCGAAAAGCGCAACTCGCAAAATGTTTCATCTAGCGATCTCGTCAGTGACTAGACTACATCATCAGATTAAAGTAAACATTGGTATCGAAAGCATGTACATACCACTCTTCTCTGATGCGGATACCACTCGTTAGTGCAGTGAGTTGCTACAAGAAATGGTAAATACCAAACATCACTTTCATCGGTGACTTAGAAAACGCCAGTCACAGTTTTAAATATATAGACCCCCGTTGGAATTTCCAAAATTGGTATGAAGGAAAAAAGGAATCAAAAGGCATCATAATGACCTTATATGACAGTATGAAATTATTTCCGTTAGATAATTCACCTTTTTTCGGTTATGACAATAATGAGTGGGTTAGCACAACGAACGGCTCGTAGGTAATCGTCTTATTTCCGATAAAAAATGGCGCCCTTTACATTCTTAGATTTAACGATGCACCTCACATTGTTTTAAATGGAAAATATTCGCTTTGTAACGACTGAGGAATTTCTTGCTAGAAACTAACAAATATCACTGTTTTTTTTTTTCTTCTCAATGTCTTAATCTTGTAAAGGGGACGTGGGAGGTTTGCGTAATGTAACCTAACGTCGCGCATTTGCAACGAACTTCCAGGTGTCAAGTCCGTTTAATTTACATCAATGAGTTGCCAGTTATCGGATCCTTATGTTGTGCACGAAGGATTGTGGGATCATGACAGGTCAAATAAATACAAAGCGCCAGGTTGTTTCACCATATTCGACGTCCCAAGTAAAACGATTTTGGAGATGATACAGCGCTTTTTCGCGGCCGCTTTAACAGAAATGGATTAAGGCAAAGTAGATACAGACCGAACTACACTAGACGCTATCCTAGCCGAGTGTTGATAGCTTTGTGCCCAGATGACTGTTGATGAGACCCATCAAGAAAGTGATATCGATTTCTGCTTTGTTCTATGGAGGAGTGTCAGTATAAAGCCAACGCTGCGAAAGGCCTTATCAAACTAACAGCCGTGGTGAATGAAGTGAACTTGAATTTTTTTTTCTGATTTTATTTATGTCCTGTAGATGATTTAAGAATTCTCATTTATCATTGTTGATGATTCACCAAGTTACATATCTCATGATAGTGCATCAAAGGTCACGATTTCGGTGTTACAACTTATAGATCGTTTTCAGTCACGTGATCACTTTACATTGGCCGCCATGTTGGTGCACATGTAAACAGTAACCATATATCGCTTGAGCTTTAGCAAAAATGGTTTTGCGTGCGATTTTGGCTGTAGGTCACTTTTGCTTATGTGGTCTTTTTAAAACTGTAACACTTTATCTGTAATTCTCTACTTCCCCGGGAAATTCCACTCGTAATGTGAAATATAAACTGTGTTTGTCTTCTCTGTTTATCTCACAACATGATACTACGTTTGGCACTGTGTGACAATACTGATCAATGCACGTATCCAGTGGCGTAAATTAAACATTCACAACTAGTATTCTGGAAGAATGTAGGTATCTGTTCTCATCAACATTAACACTGAGAAATAAACTTCCTAAGCAGACACATTTTAACTTTAGTAGCTGGTGTTTTTGTGCGCACTTTGGCAGCGACGCAACTGCATGTTTGAAATGAAAAAAATGGTAAAAACCATTCGCAGTTCCGGTGCTCTATTTGGGGGCCCCGCCACTTTTATTCTCAACGAGCGCTAAATTAACTGTGAGCTACGCAAGAGGACTCAAGTCACTCTGTAAGGACAGCATGTAGCCGGCGACTTTACATGTAGTAACGCGATTGTGAGCTAAGATGGAGAAAACTATTTATGCCTTAGTAGCCAGCGAAATGCCCGACTACATTATGTAGACAACCTTTCGATTTACCTTTACCTTGGAATCCGTATTTCCTGGCAAATACCAAAATCAGGATAGGTTGTTGACTAAAATAAGATTTGATTGTATCCAATGAGTGGCTTTTCGCTGGCTCTCTTGGGAAAGGATTCCTCGTACACCGTGACTTGAGTCGTATTGAAGGCTCCCGATCCTAATATTCACAGGCGAATTTGCGCAACAAATTCAGGATCTTAGCGTCGTTGACTTTATATATCACGTAACGTAGAATCGTGACGAACAGTATGGGGCAGTCGACAGTGTACGTCATGTTATCAATTCAAACATCAACTAATACTTTACATGACATCATATATACGTAGTTCAGTATCTATATCTCTGCTCTACAGGGACAGATCAAGTAGGTAAAGTATTTCGAAATCTAAACTTCGGCTTGGCTCAGAAAAATCTCCTGAGGATCACAATAAACGAAGGAAACAGGTTTAACTCCCTTAATGAAATTCAAAGCTTTCCTTTGTCTGAACCCCCTGCTGAACAAACTTGCCACCCCCCACAGCCACCAGGGCTGTGGTCTAGTAGCGCCCGGTGGCCCCTGGCGTCTTACATTTGTTCTTGGGCGACCCAGGAATCTTAGTTTTTTTCATAAAAAGCATATACTGGGCACCCTGGATTTCACAGTTTCTGAGCACTGGGCTCTCTTCAGTTTTTCTTAGAGCACAGCCTTGCCCCACCCTCCTAAGTTAAAAAAAACTGGACCAGGCTCAGTTCTATTGAACTCAGTGTACAGTGGAACCTTTATTCCATTTGTTTGGATGATTGGTGAGGTGGATTTTCAACCTGACACACGAAAAAGACAGCTGGTCAAGGTCAGGAAAATTGACAAACCTTCGATTACAAAAAGAGTGAAAAAAAGAAAAAAAATATTGTAATCTCTTGATCAAGAAATCATCACAAAACGTCGCTATTTCCATGAAAACTGTACGCATCAGTTGACTCGATGTTAAGCCTTTCCCGATTGCGCTGAGCACCTTTTGAGCACTTCTTTGAGTTTGGAGCACTATTTTGCATTTGGAGCACCCTTAAGCACTTTTTCGCACTTTAGGCAACATTTTTGAGCTATATTTCACATTTCGAGCAAATTTCGAGCAACATATGTCTTCTAAAACATTTTAAAGCAAAAACTGTATTTCGCTCGCAACGAGAAATCGCCTTCCAGGTCATAAATCTGAATAACTAATGATGTACTGGTCAAGAATAAAAGACCGTTGTCATGGAAAGGCACGTGGACTTATCCCTACTGAGCGTGAAAACAGAAGTTTCTGATTAGCTGATGTATCATGTGCGTGTCATCTCAAATTTCTAAATAATCTGATTTCTAGGCTTTACACTAGTATTGCTGAATTTATTTACAATTTGGTAACCGGCTTTAGTTTTTTGAGAGCACAAATAGAAGCACCAAACCAGTCTGAAGACAATAGCACTGAAGACGAAGAAGTGATTGATACAATTACAATAACAGTAAATGCTGGAGCATCCCTTAGTGCTCCAGAAAGTGCTTCGATAGCACGAAAGCGAAAAGTTCCGATCAACAAAGGGAAGAAAAAGCAAAGAGAAAGCGTCAAAACCACCAATGTGAGTACACGGGATCGTCTCAAAGAGCACCCAAACCAACACTTTGCCGTGGTAAAAGGAAAGCTTAGATGTAGCGCCTGAAGCGAAGTTCTCAGTGATAAGAAAAGTTTATTGAAAGACACACGCAATCAAAGAAACATGAGAAGGGCCTGGCTGATATTGAGAGAAATAAATCGGAACAGCAGTCCATAAAAGAATGCCTGCAGAAGAGGGCAAAAATTGACATATTTACGAAAAGCTTAGCGGTAACTGTTCACAACTTTTAGCACTTTTGAGCACTATTTTGACTTTTGAGCACTCTTTGAGCACTTTTAAGCCATTTTTGCCAGCACTTTTTTAGGATTTTACAAGCGCAATCGGGAAAGGCCTACTCGATGTGAGATAACTTCAAAGTAGTGCAGCTAAACCATATGACCGCTCGGTTTTCGTTATTTAGGCTTAGCCCCATTTGCGCCCTTCGTCTGTGATTTATAGAGAAGAAAGTTGAGTTTTAAAGTAATATGTTTTGCCTGTAATTTTGTATTTTGTACTAATAGCTTGCATGTAGCCGGCAAAACCTACGGGCTGGTCTGTGCTTCAAAGCAAAACAAATTATTTCGAATGAAGTTTGAAATAAAACTCAGACGAATTCGATTGATTAATAAGAGAATGCAAAACCCATACAAGAAAGAAAAAATTACGGACGGGAAAATGGATATTATCAAATAATTCATGGTTATCCGGGGTCATTCTTTTTAACAGGCGCTTTCAAACTATTGATCTCTTCCTTGTGATCTCGTCTGGCATGTTAGACTTGACCGAGGGATTTCATGAAAAAAATCGGCGTTGCCGCTTTTAAAAACATGCCTGATGAGATAGAGTTTCAGACGTGACTGACCCAGGAAGACCTCAGGAAGGACGAAGTAAAGGAGCAAAATTTTGACCCGATACTCTGAATGAGGTTTAACGAACCATTCTTTTCCAAATCCTAATTATGAATGCCCAATTTCACTCCATAATCGCGCTTCAGGTATTTAAAACAATGCGAACTTTCTGTTGATCTCCAAAGCTTCCAAAAATGAGCTTACCTGGCATCCGGTTTGACGTTTTATCAAGTGAAACTGCTTTGGTTGCAAATTCCTAAAAAAAGGCAGTACACAACATTCTAATTTCAAGGCTTTTTTTCTTTTTTTTTTTTTTTTTCCTGTACCTTTCTTTCGAAGCGTTCCTACGTATATGTCTTCATTTGAGTTCCTATCATTTCTAAGTAAAATTTACAAGGCATGTAACTGAATGGAAACACTCGTGAACTTGGGGAAGAAGGAATTTGAAAAGAAGGATCAATCTCTTATACTTGAGAGGAGCTACGTCGCAGTCCTCTCTGAAAGGGTATCTCCCTTACCTGAGTGACAAAAATCGCAATGACGTCATAACCTGCCGCGATTTGCATAAAATTCGAATGCTGCCGCTTTGTTCAAGGTGATACGTTTTCTCTCCGATTGCTGGTGAGATTGTTGTGCTAGCTAGTTTCCGGTTGTTCCGTGCCATCTGCATAGCGTTTTGGTCGTTACGTTTCCGCTAGATTGGTGAGAAAGAGTTAAATTACCCTAGACGTTGGTCATGTTCAAGTGAATGATCAAGTGAACTTTAAGTCGAACGAGTCCTCCGAGCACACCGGAGCGTGCAACAGTTACCTTCGCGTAACTATAATCCTTTGTAAAAAGTACTTTGCCTTGCTTTTCAGTCAACCAGTCCATAAAATCCAAGTAAAGTCGATCATTCTGTGGTGATATCAATATACCATTCCAGATAAATGGCATTTTTCAGTTAAAAAATCTTTTGTTTTGATTTCTCATCGCAGAGACAAATTCAGCTGGGAGCATTAGAGGACTCCTCACAGAGGCCATGTTGTTTGTTTTCGTTCTTTGCAGTGTTCTGTTTGCTGCATCAGTGGAGGCGAGCAAGTAAGATTACAGTTTTAAAAGAGAGAGTAACGCCTGATTAAGAAATACTGGCTTATTCAATTCCGACCACAGCTTGAATAAGTTGTGTGAGCTGATCGATGTATATATGTAAATCAAATTGTAATTTATCAAGAAAAAATTTGCTTATTTAGCGCTATGTTCTGTAAGCTGAGAAATATTGATTCTCGAACAATAGCCTTAAGTCTAACAACTCTTTCTTTTTTTTTTTTTTATAGAAAAACATGTTTACTTTTCACATTCTCTAACAGTGAAGTCTATTTTAAGAATGTTTCAGGAGGGTCGTTTGTCAAACCAACGGTAACTTTCAGTATCCTCTTGGCTATCTTTAGCCCGTTTGTAATATGATTTCCACGAGAAAATTCTTTATTAGAACTTCCGCTATAATTCATATTGTCCTTTGTCGTGTGAATGCCACTATCATGCTTGCTACCAATCCAATACAAGGAAAGAGAGAACTTTGCCAATATTTAAGTAATAGAGGACTTTTTCCCTGCCTATATATAGCTTCATCTGAACACTTGAGGTATGAGGGTATTCGAGAAAGTTATGCAAATCCAAGACGCACGCCAGGCCAGCTTAAAGAAGTCCTCTATTGTTTTTTATAAAATATCTCTCAAAATAAGGCAAAATAAAGAAGCGTGACATCACAACTGTGTTTCATTACTCTCACCTAAACACACCCACCAACCAATGAGAGCAATGCATTGCACCATCTTATATATTTAATATATATAAGGCCACTGTTGAACATGCTAGTCTGTGGGAGAAATACTATATAATTTGTAGACCGAAAATGGCGATGCAGAACAACAGAAATAAACTTATATCGAGTTGCAGACATGCAAAGAGATTCCTTTCAAATAGCGTGATTGTTTAAGCTTCTGAAATTTATTTTTAGCAGTTCATTTTCAGCAGTTTACTATATGTTGTTTAACCGTTATGATTAGCTTTTTTTGAAACAATTTAAGCCTATCAGATTTATTTTTAGCAGTTTACTGTACATTGTTTTACCGTTGCTATACACCTCATCCAATTGTGAATTACAACAGTTTTTCAAAATCACTATATAATGCACCATGTATTCTTTCTTTTTGGCAGTAGCCTGATGATTGTCTTGTAATAGGCACGAAACTCAGAGTAACAAATAAATGGTTTTGACCTAATTCAAGTCTACATATCTATTCAACACTGGCAAACCCATTGAGCACATTTTAGCTGATGTTCAATTTCTAAATAACATCATTATATATATATTTATTAAAATCTGGATCATTGGATAATGCAATTCAAGACTTTTTATTGGCTTAGCCATTATGGTATATGAGCCAATATACCATAATCTAATATCTGTACATTGTAACATCCGGTTTCTTCTTACAAAATAAAGTCGAGAAGATTTGTCTAATATCTTGGGGGCGTTTTTTTTAATAAAACAATTATTCCACTCGCGCTTGTTGGATATGAGATGATTATAGCCAACTCGGCGCTACGCGCCTCGTTGGCTATCTATCATCTCATATCCAACGCGCGCTCGTGGAATAATTGTTAA